GTAAAAGGTCAAATCAACATGCTGTTTGATCATTTTAGAAGTTTTCTGTGTAAGCAGAAATTATTCAAATAAAAACAAAAAAGATTAAAAATAATTTGATTTTGTGCCTTGACTTGGTTTTGCAACAAAAGCTTGAAAAATATGAAGCGCTTCATGTTTTATAAGGCTTCTATATAATCACACAATAAAACAGACAGGAAAGGCTACAGCAGTCTGTAAAAACCACCTAACATCCACGTTTTAAGTTAAAAAGTGACCTCTGTCTTATTGAAGAAGTTTTGTTGTTGTTGTTGTTTTCCTGTTTGTGTTCGTCTCAGCAGCTTGTTGCCATTTTAGCGATGATGGACAGGAAAGTTGTCGTGGCGAAGCCGGGGTTCAGCATCAGCTGCTGCATCAGGTCTCTGCCTTTCTCTCTGGTGCTCACTGAACACATCGCGCTTTTCCACATTTTCACCAACCTTCCACCTGGTAGATGACAAAGGATCACAGTCATCTGTGGAACTTGGCCACAACAACAACAAAACAAACAAACAAACAAAAAAAAAACTTTTAGTGTTTGTGTCCTACCAAGAAAAGTGTTGACCCTCCTCATCCAGGAGAAAATAGATAGTGAGTGGTTCTCCTCCTTACTCAGGTCAGCAATTTTTGGAGCCACGTCACCCTTCTAGACACATCAGTAAAACTGTAAGGGATAGAAGTTAAAATACATTTTGTAGCATAATGTGTGAAATAAGTCGATGTCATGATCGCACCTTTAGGACTCGACTCGGCAGAGGGGTGATAAACAGCAAGGATTTCTCCAAGCTGGAGTGAAAATGAGCTGCAGAGACGTACTCAGCTGAGTTCAACCAGCTGTTGGCAAACGACACCTCCTCAGATGAATAATGGCTCTGCCTAAAGGAGATAACAACAGAAAGGTGAGCACTAGAAAAGCTAAAGAAAACTGAAACAGAGATATCAACTGTCTAAGATAAAACTACAAAACGTAGAGATAAAGTTGGTTCATTTGACAGGTAATTGTCATCTAAATGCCAATATCCAGGCCAGCTGACAAGAAAACCAATTTTTAAATGTAATGTTCCTTCTAGTTTTTGAAAATAATAATAATAATAAAATGTGAAAAGCCATTCTGCACTTTAGGATGGACGCTACGGAGAATCTACCTGCTAAAGCAGCACGGTGCTTAGGCCTGTGGTTTAGACCAATCAGTGTGGACGAAGCAACAATAGCCTCTGATTGAACAATAAGACACAACTATGAGTGCAAAGAAGTGTTAAGAATCAACCAGAAGCATTCCTGAATGTTTATTAAAGGGGCAATATTATGTGTTTCTCAGGCATACATTTACCATAAYAAAGTATCTATGTCACTTTTAGCTGTTATTAAAATGCTGTTTTTATGTTTAAATAGAAAATAAACTTGTCTTCTCATCACTTCCTCTTCTAAACGCCTTGAAATTGACCTCTGTCTCTTTAAGAACCTCCTTCCGCTTCTGTCTCGCGGGTGGTCGCGCTCGCGGGGGGAGGGGAGTAGCCATGATGCTGTTTACTTGGCATCTGAAAATACATTTCCTCAAAGGTATTTTTAATCTGAAAAGAGCTTCAC